TGCTCCCCCGTGTTGGCTCCGGCGCGAGGGGAGTTCGCCCCACGTGAGCAAGTTTTGATGCAGGTCGGCTTGACCGACGAGGACCTCCCCTGGGTGAAGGCTCGGGGGGAGGCCTCGACGCGTGCCCCAGCCCCCCTTTGGAGAGGAGTCGGACGCTGCGGCGCCCGATGTTTTTGTCTGATCGTGGATCGCATGGCGTTAGGCCCGTCCCCAACCTCTTGCTCCTCGTCGTCCTCCTCCTCCTGCTCCTCCTCCTCCTCATCATCATCACCATCACCATCAGCAGCAGCAGCAGCATCATCGTCCTTCTGGAAAAAGGAATGCATGATACCTCACCAGTCCCAGGAACCTATGAACTGACGGCTTCAAGAAGTTAAGGTGGCAGCCTTCTCCATCAGCCAGGGGGGGAAATTAGTGACCACGTACACACTCTAGAGGCTGCTGGAGAATCGAGTTTCCAGAGGGGTGTGTGGTCATCGAAGCCGCGCGAAATGAGACAACGGCAGCTCAAAATGGGTCCCCGAAACCTTCCCGAGGTCCAAACGCACTAGCTGTCTGAGCTGCGTCCAGCCGTGGCGTCGAGCCCCCCCCCCCTCCGAAGGCCAACTACTGTTGTCTTAACTCGCCCTCCTCCTCCTCTGAGGTCAAACATCGGGTCCCCTGAGGACAAAGGAAAAGGAGGAAGGAAGAGGAGCAGTAGGAAGAGGACGAGAAAGGAGGAGGAGGAGAAGGAGGAGGAGGAGGAGGAGGAGGAGGAGGAGGAGGAGGATCGGAGGAGGCAGGAGACAGGAGAGGGAGAAGGGGGAGGAGAAAGGGGAGGAGAAGGAGGAGGAGGAGGAGGAGGAGGAGGAGGAAGAGGAAGACGAGTAGGAGGCGGAGCAGGAGGAGGAGGAGGTGGAGGAGGAGGCAGGAGGAGGAGGAGGAGGCAGGAGGAGGAGGACTGTCTCCCCGGTCCTTCACCAAGATCAGCAGCTCGGGAAGCGCCCGCAGCATGCGCACCAACCGGGAGAGCCGAAGCAGGCGGAGGAGGCGCAGGATCGCCACGTCGCCAAGGGAGAAGCTGTCGTCGTCGAGAATCCGCCGACTCCTCCTCCACCTCCTTCTCCTGCTCCTCCTCCTCCTCCTCCTCCTCCTCCTCCTCTTCCTCCTCCTCCTTGTTCTCCTGCTCTTCCTCCTCCTCCTGCTCCTGCTCCTGCTCCTCCTCCTCCTCCTCCTCATCCTCCTCCTCCTCCGCTTCCTCCTCCTGCGTGGGGTCGCCAGGCGTGTGAGATTCCAACCCGTGCGTGATCCCCTCCACTGAGCCCCATCTCGCCGGGAAAATCTCCCACCCCGCCCCCCCCCGCCCCCAGCCGAGTCCCGGCCTGGACAGACTCTCGTGTAAGCGAGCGATGCTTCCGATTCGCAAACAGTCCAGAGACCGAACCCAAGCAACATACAGAGGTGCAGGGACGCAGCTCGCACTAAAATCGCAAGGCTGGAGAGCTCGATCGCGGCCGACGAGGCCAGTTCCCTCGCCACCAGAAGCTGGCAGCCAGCCTGCCCGTCGCTCGCGGTAGGGGGTCGTAGATAAACGAACGAACATCTCTGCAGACAGCCGACCAGGACTAACTGAGACCAGGCGGACGAGGCCGTCGTCTGAATGGTCTGGTACTGCCTGGTACGTATGGGAGACAAAAAACATGCATCGGAGCCACGAGACATAGAACACATTGTGACTCACAAAAGGGGGAGGAAGAGTCGGAAATTCTGGTTGTCAATGTTGACGTGCGTGGGAAACGCCGTCATCCAGTGTCGTCGTGCTGATATTCGAACGTTGCCCAGGTCAGGCGTGGATCCTACCAAGGGCGTGGCGGATGTAGGATGTAGCGCAAGCTTGATCAAGTCCAACACGGCCAGACTACGATGCAAGAACTGGGCGAAGGCGGGCCCAGCGAGCACCCTTCAGGGTAGCAGCGGTGCCTCAGGTCTGTGCAAGCGCTCGTCATGTCATGTCGTTGCTCGTGCGCAGATACGCATACCATACATGGATTATTACTGAATCACTTCTCAACATTGCAACCTTTGGTAGCCCCTCACCAGGCCACCACGCTCCCGGCGAGCCAATCTGAGGCTCTCTTTTTGAAGGGCCAAAACAAAAAGACCAAGACAAAGACCCCTGCAGAGGCGATGCGTTAAAATTCTGCAACGGGACTGGATACATGGGGGCCCGAGGGAAGACATATGGAGACATGAAGGCGAGGGCATCAAGACGGCCCAAAAAGATACGACGAGCCGCCCAAGGCGGCCCAAACAGGCTGCGAGGTGGCCAAAAAACGCCAGGGCTTTGGCTTTCCAAGCTCTTCGGCCGAACATGGCTTTAGGAATGTCTCTGTGGGCCAAGGGCGGCATAGAAGGCCCCCCAAAAGCCCCAGCGATGGCTCGAGGTGGTCGCGACACGACCTCAAGAGGGCCTCAAGAGGGCCCAGGGAATCCCAAGGAGGGCCCAAAGGCGGCCCAAGAGGGCTCCCACGGGGCTCCGAGAGAGCTCCCGGAGGTCTCGAAGACGCCGCCAGGCGGCCCGAGAGCGCCAGCCAAGACACCCAGAGGCGGCGCCCCTGGAGGGCCCCCCGACCACTTAAGGGGGACCACCTGCGGTTCGGGGGGCATCTCAAGGGACACCCAAGACGGCCCAGAAGGGCCCCACGGGGGCCCAAAGACTGGGCAAGAGAGCCCACGGAAGGGCCCAAGTGGCCCAAGAGGGCCCCGAGATGGCCTGGAGGGCCCCTGAAGCCGACAGCGCTTCAGAACGTCATCGAGTCATCGAGGAGGAGTGGCGGCAACTGCAAGAGGTGAGGACAAGCCTGCCCGGCCGTGTTCACGCGAAGCGTTTCAGATCAGCAAGATGGCTACAGCCACCCAGGTCTCCAAAACCATCATGACGACGAGGACCGTGTCGAACATAAACCAATTGGAGTTGAGCCCATACAGCTTCTCTTCGAAAGCCATGAGCCGAATGACCCACTCCACTGTGAAATACAAACAGAAAATGTTCTCCGCGACAATGAACACTGGATGGGCATCAACGATGGAGTCCGCTTTGTTCCAGTTTGTGTCTACAGCCATCCAAATCGCATTGAGGGCAATCACGAAGAGGGTAATGTTCTCAAATATCGCACTCCTGGAAAAGGGGGCGGAGTGCGTCTGAATAGAAAACGAAGTCACAACATCGCAACAAAGCACCCTGCATGCGCAGCCAGAGCGACTTCCGTGACGCTTGCGCTGCCCGTGGAGGGTAGGAGTCTGGGGATGTGCCCGGGCCCGTGTCAGGGGGCGTGCCTGAGGACATGCCTGGGAGCATGTCAGGGGACGTGAGAGCAACAGGAAAACGCCATAAGCATAAGTCTCCTCTTCGGTGGTGGTGATCCAAACCTTGAAGGTGTGGGCACGTCGTGCCCCCAATTGGGAAATCGGTTTCGAGTTTCGGTTTTTCTGCATTCCCCACCCCACTCTCCTTTATCAGCTGTTCATTGCATTGCGCCCAAGATTGAGGAGGATGGGTGGATGATGATTCTTCCGTTGGCTTCAGCAGGTCCTCTCCCAAACATAAACGTTCGGAGGTCAGCGCGGATGTATTGGATCTGCGCTGGACTCCCCCTCCCCAGCGAGGAGGAGGAGGAGGAGGAGGAGGAGGAGGAGGGGGATGCGCGGAGCGCGCCGGGGGCGGCGCCAGAGGCGCGGCGCCAGGGGGGCCCAGCGTCGATCCAAGAAATCCGCACGGAGCTGAGGACATCTCCTCGAGACTTGTCTCGTGGGCGTGCGTGGGGGCGTCTGGGACGCACCTTTCGTCCAGAGGATCAATCATCGGGGGTGGACAGAACCCCCAACAGTGACACGTCGATTAGTGAATTGTCCGTTCTCGGTTCTCGAGAGGGCGCCGTGGCCGCTATTTTCCAGGCTTGCGCCCGCCAGGTTTGGGCCTCAGGTCGTTTTCACTAAACCACGTTTTACTAAAGGGGGGTCTGTCCATCCCCGAAATCAGGGGGGGCGGGGGGGGGGGGCAGAAACACCAGAGCCCTGGATCATCCGCGCGATCCTCCTCGATCCCCGGGGGAACCAGGTACATCCAGAACCCTTGATCATCCTGGATGGTCGATCTTCGATCCTGGATCCTCGATGGGACGCACAGAGACATACTAATACTATATCTCCGCCTTGGAGGCGCGCGTCCGACCCGAACATGTAATATACCCATCTTGCAGTGTATCGTTTCTCGAGCGGTGTGGCCAGAAAGCGCCCGCCACGACGCGTACACTATACGATTTCTCGGTGCGCGCGTCGCCCCTGGGGGGGGGGCGACGAGCACCTAATAGAAGTATGTTGGGGGAACGCCGGCTCGAACCTCGATCCGCCTAACTCCTAGGCCCACGTCAAAGGGCCGTGCCCGTGGGCCGTGCCAGACCCTGACGTGCCCTGGAAGGGACGTGCTCGGGGACGTGCCCTGGGGCGCGTCGTGGGGCGCACCGTCCTCTAGGTGGTGCGTCGTGGGGCGCACCGTCCTCTAGCGGGTGCGCGCGGGGGGGGGGGGCGCGCGCCCAGGGCGCTCCCGCGGGCGGAGCGCGCGCGCAGAGGCCGCGCCCTGATGGCGCATCGGCAGAACAGGGAACGTTTATAAGGCACACCACACGCGGGGAAACTTAATGGGAGGGCGAGCCAGTGCCGAGCCTCGGGGCACACG